GTGGGATCTTAATTCCCTGACCAGGAATTGAACCTGTGCCCCCTGCAGTGGAAGTATGCAATCTTAGCCACTGACTGCCAGGGAAGTCCCAGCACCAGCTGTTCTTATCTGACTGTTTCCACTCTGCCGATCAGGCTGCCATTTGGCTGACATGAGAAAACTCCAGTGCTCCTTTCTCTCTCCCCCACCCACCTTACCAGTTTCACCTGCTCTCAGATGGTAGAAATATGCTCTTTCATCTTCCCATCACACTTGTTGAAGTTTTGAGTTTTATATATTTGTATGCATGATTAATCTATGTGGAATTTGTTTTGCTGTGTGGTGGGAGTGGAATTTATTTTCTCCCTAACGCCTAGTCAAGGCAACTGACTGATTCATCCTTTCCCTGCCCACTGGATATTTATCATGTATTCAGTTCTTCTATGTGTAAAATTAGTGCAAATTAATTTTTAAAAATGTATGCACCTGGAAAACTCTACGCTGTATTTTTTATTTTCAGTCTTAGCTATATGTATGTGAATAATATATTGTGGTTATTCATTGAACAAATCCTGACTGCGTGCGTGTTCCATGTCAGGCGCAATGCTGAGTCCTGGGGACAGTGTTATGAAGAAAACAGAAATCCTTGCCCCTGTGCAGCCAGCAGACATGGAGGGAGACAGGAAACTGTCAATGTGTAAATACGTGATGTGGCAGGCGGTAAGACACAAAATAAAATAGGGTAACAGGAGCGGGGGAAAGGATGCTGTTTTAGATAGGATCATCAGAGAAAGCCTCTCTAAGGAGGTGATGTTTGAGATTGAAAGAGGTGGAGCAGGACTTTCCCTGTGGTCCAGTGGCTAACACTCCACACTCCCAGTGTGGGGGTCCTGGGTTTGAGCCCTGGTCAAGGAACTAGATCCCACATGCTGCAACTAAGAGTTCACATGCCTCAACCACGACCTGGCACAGCCAAGTAAATAAATATAAAAAAAGAAATGTGGGGCCAAGTGGCTTTCTCAGGGAGGAGATCTCTAGGGAGAAGGAACAGCCTGTGCAAAGGCCCTGATGTAAGAACCATGCCCGGTGTGTTTATAATATAACAGGGGGACAAGGGCTCATGGTGGCCTGGTATGGGCAAGTCCACCATCCTTGGCAGCAGATACCCAGCCCAACTTCCCTTGGTTTTTCTTGTTGTTGTTGTTGTTTTGCTGGAATATTTTGGGGGTTGAAATTAAAAAAGGAAACAAATATCTATACATGTCAATCTTTTCTCAAAAAATTTTAACTTTCCACATAAAAGCAATTGCTGTACTAGTGTCTATCTCCTATTTAGATATAGACAGTTCAATAGCAAATAGAGTTTTGTGACATTTTATGAATCCCTCGTGGTCACAACCTTTGATAAAAGTGAAAAAGTTTAAAAAAAAAAAAGTGTATAGTATAGTGTCAGGCTTAGTTGCTCAGTCACGTCCAACTTTCGATCCTGTGGACTGTAGCCCACCAGGCCCTTCTGTCCATGGGATTTTCCAGGCAAGAATATTGGAGTGGATTGCCATTTGCCATTTCCTCCTCCAGGGGATCTTCCTGACCCAGGAATCGAACCTGGGTCTCCTGCATTGGTGGGCGGCTTCTTTACCGCTAAGCCACCTGGGACGCTGTAACCAGTATAGCCCACAGTATAACCAGGAGGCCAGTGAATGGAATGGAGAAGAAAAGGGGAGAGTGGGAGGGGTTGAGGGCAGGGAGGGGACAGCGCAGAGTGGACACAGCCTCGTGGGCCACGGGGAGGACTTGGGCTTTGGCTCAGACTGAGGTGGGAGCCATAGAGGGTTCAGGGCAGAGGAGGGACATACCCTGAATCGGGAGATCACTGACTCCACTGGGTCCTACCAGGGAAACAGACGTGGGGGACAAGTGTGAGAGCTCAGAAACCAGGGTGGAGACACCTGCACTCTTCAGGCAGGAAATGACAGCCATGTGACAGTGTGGGGGGCCGAGGAGTGGGTGAGAAGCTTTTGGATCCTGGAAGAGAAGTGCAAGGCTTCCCGCCTGAGCACCAGGAGGGCAGGGCAGCCTGGGGGACCATGGTAGTTTGATATAGCTGTGCTCAATGGGAGGTACGCCACGAGGCCCCTGTGTGGGGTGCTGAGGGGGGCACGTGTCACAGGGCCGTGCCCACATTTGAGCATCATCAGGGTGGAGCTAGAGTCTGCAGGAGTGTCCCCAGGGGACCTAGCACATCTGAAAGAGAAGAAGCTTCAGCCTGGGCACTGCTTGCCCTGGGCAGGGTGGGACCAGTTTGCCTTTGAGTTGGCAGGGACCACGGGAACCACAGGGCTCCTTTGAGTGGCCTGGTCACCCAAGGGCATGGCTTGGAGCCTTGGGCCTCGCCTGTTTGCTGAAGCTTGTGGGCCAGGGGGCAAGTGGGGCCTTGACAGCTAGAAGCCACTGGGGAGGAGGTGACATTTCTTTCTTTTTTTTTTTTCGTTGTTTGTTTATTTTTGGCTCCGCTGGGTCTTTGTTACTGTGTAGGCTTTTCTCTAGCTGCGGCAGGCAGGGGCTCCTCTCTAACTGCAGTGAGCCGGCTTCTCATTGTGGTGACTTCTCTTGTTCTACAGCACGGGCTTCGGTAGTTGTGGCTCCTGGGCTCTGGAGCACAGGTGCAGAAGTTGTGGTGCTCAGCTTACTTGCTTCGAGGGGTGATCTTCCCAGACCAGGAATCGAACCTGCATCTCCCTCACTGGCAGGTGGATTCTTTACCTCTGAGCCACCTGGGAGTTCCAGGAGGTGATGTTTCTCTAGGGACAAGCTGAGTTGGTGACCAGACTCCCACCAGGGGGTACCTGACTTGGAGCAACAGTTATTGAACACCAACTGTATATGACCACATTGATAACCCCATGCTGATTGTGTGCCCCACACTGGATATCTCTTCCTGTTGCCTACACTCCCATACTAATTGTACCAGGCCATGTCACCTGTAAAGTTGATTGTAATGTGACGTTTGCAACTGGCCTTAAGGGCTGTTGGGAGAAGCAGTTTGAACAGGAACATGATCAAAGGAGCATACTGCGGATGTGGGGGTGGATGGTTGGGGCAGGGTGTGTACCCTACCAACTTTACAACTCCACCCTGGCCCTATACCCCACAATGATTAGATACCCCGATTGTGTACCCCTTGATGGGCTATATACTCCATACCACCAGTACCCCATGCCTACTGTGTACCTCCACATCAGTTGGATACCCCTACACTTGCAATACAGTACATCTATGCCAACTGTATACATGGTATCTATCCCATGCCTGGTCTTTGGCTGGTTTTTGTTTTATTTATTTATTTGGCTGTATAGGGTTTTAGTTTCAGCACTCAGGATCTTTCATCGAGGCACACGGACTCTCTAGCTGTGGCTCAAGAGTTCAGTAGTTGCAGCCAGTGGGCTTAGTTGCCCCGAGGCATGTGAGATCTTAGTTCTCTGACCAGGGATCAAACCCATGTCCCTTGCATTGCAAGGCAGATTCTTAACATCTGGACCACTAGGGAAGTCCCCATTGTGGCTGGTTTTGGTTTTATATTTAGTCCCATTTCACAGATGAGGAAGTTGAGGCTCAGAGAACACAAGGCACTGACCCGAGTATCCTCGGGCTCAGATGGGGCAGGATCATTTGAGTCCAGGGTTACCCTGTATATGTCAGCGCCCCAAGACTGGGTTACACAAATGCCACTGTACCCAGGAGGTGCTCAATAAATGCATGTTCTTCAAAGCAAATGCTTCAGGGTTATCAGCTGTAGAGGGTGCAGGGATGGCCAGCTGAGGTGTGTAGCCTTGGGGGCCACAAAGGAACCAGCAGGGAGCAGTACCAGACAGGGATGTGGCATGCCTAAGGCAAAGGGGCTGTCATTTCTAATTTGGGAGTTCTCAGGAGACATGGGTGTGGATTTCTATATGGACTGTCTCAATATTTAACTGTTGGCACTTACTCTTTTAAAAAATGCACCCACAGGTTGGAGAGCATTCAGCCCAAATACTCTATAATTGGTTGCTTGGATTCAGCCGTCTGTCTGTTTTGGGGTGCTTGGCCAGGCACTGATGCCTCAGTTTCCGTATCTGCAGAATGGGACAATTATTAGGTGCCTTCCATGGTTGAGAGATGTTTTAGGGCTGTGTCGCCTCGTTGGGGGAGGCGGAGGGTAGCCCAGGCCACTGGGTGAAGCCAGAGTTCCCTGGGGGGCGGGGGGGGGGTGGTTGTGGAGAAGGCTAAATCGGGCGGCGGTGAGTGGCAGGAGCAGCTGCCGCCCCGCCCCGCTCCGCTCTCTCCTCCCTCTCTCTGTTTCTGGGTCCAGTCGGTCCGAGGCAGCCGCTCCGCTAGGGCCGGTCTGACCGGTTTGGGCCGTCCCGCCTGGCTCTTTGCTGGGAGGAGCCGCCGCCAGTCTGTCCCTCGGTGCCTCCCCTGGGGACGCCCGCGCTGCGTCCGGACCGGAGGGCAGACGGGGAGCGGCAGTGGGAGCCGGCGGGCGCCGTCGGGGCCGGGCGCCCGCAGGGATGGGGAAGGAACAGCAGCTTTATTACGGGAAGCACGGTAGGCAGCGCCCCTCTCCGCGCACGCGGGCCTGGCAACTTGGAGGGGCAGCAGGAAGACCCAGGGTAGGGGGGATGAGGGGAGCGCGGAAGGGCAGATCTCAGCCTGTACCCGCCCCACCTCCGCATCACCTGCCAGCACCCCTCACCCCCGAGGCCCACCCGGAGGTCCCTCCAAAATTCCTGCATCCCAGAGGTCTGTCCTCGTAGCCTCCTTCTCCAGATCTCATTTTTGGATCCTCGCCCTTCCACTGGACTCCCGGGCAGCCCCTTTTTAGCCCCCCTCCCAGTCCTCCCAGTGAGTGGTCGCCAGGTGATAAATCGGGCAGTTCACAGAAAATCCAGTTATCTCTGAATCTTACTCCTCCGTGGCTAGAGACATCCCTGAGGACATCTTGGGGAAGGGTGGTCTGCCAGCTTCATTTTTCTGATTTTCAGGAACACCGCAGAAGTATGACCCCGCCTTCAGAGGACCCATTTACAACAGGTAAGGGGTCTGGGTTCCTGGGAGTGGAGGGGTGTCAGCTAACACTGTTTCCACCCCTGTTTCTTTACACCCACACCCACGTCTGTTCTCCAACAAACTGGTGATATGTATTTGCAACTTAGAGATAAAAGAGTGGTAAAAGAATGATAAAGGAATTTTCGTCACCTATAGAGAGTCTTTACAAATGCATTTTTTTCAATTCAGGCAAAAGACTGGAACAGACCATTTAATAGAACCAGAAATACTATAGACAGTGGAGTTACGGAGAAATGCTCAAACTCACTGGAAAGGAAAGGAATGTAATGTAAAACAGGAACCAAACAGAGTTTCCCCCTCACAGGTTAGCAGAAGTTAAAAATAGATACACTAGGGTATACACAAGTAGGAATATAATATTGTATACATGAAAATTGCATAATGTTATAAAGCAATGTTACTTCAATTAAAAAAAAAGATTGACACATATTCTGCTCTGAAACTAATTGATACAGTATTTTTTGGAGGGAATTAGGAAATATGACATTTTAAAAAAATGTACAGCTCTTCATTCCAGAAATTAAAATGATGTGAAAAAATTTCTCTCCGTAAACCTTGCCTGTGCTATGCTGTGCTTAGTTGCTCAGTCGTGTCGGACTCTTTTCCACCCCATGGACTGTAGCCCGCCCGGCTCCTCTATCCATGGGGATTCTCCAGGCTGGAAGACTGGAGTGGGTTGCCATGCCCTCCTCCAGGGGATCTTTAGAACCCAGGGATCAAACCCAGGCCTTCCGAATTGCAGGCAGATTCTTTACCAGCTGAGCTACCAGGGAAGCCCAAACGTTACCTGTGTGTGTTAGTTGCTCAGTAGTGTCCGACTTTTTGCGACCCCCTGGACTGGGTCTCACCAGGCTCTTCTGTCCATGGGATTCTCCAGGTAAGAATCCTGGAGTGAGTTGCCATTTCCTTCTCCACAAACCTTGCCTAGATGGGCAAAAACCAACAATCTGAGTTGCATCTCTGGGAACTAGTTAGATACATTACAGTGCATCTTTAGGTTATTTTATTATACAGCTGCTAAAATGTACAAGAGTCTTTCTGAGTCCTCACATGGATCCCTCTCAATATAATGGTGAAAAAAGCAAGACATAAACTGTGGGTGTATCATAATCATACCTGGGTTAACCAAAAAAACTTTTTTTGGAAAACATTTGTTCCAGTAAATAAAAAACTCACAAGAAATCATTAACAGAGGTTTCTCATGGAGAGGAGGATTATGTGGGAGGTAGTTCTTAATTAAGTACATCCCTGTATGGTTTACATTTTATCATGTTCATATTTAATCTTATGATATTAAAAAATAGTTTAAGGTCTACTCTTTTAACAATTTTCATAATTTATCATGCAACATTATATTTACCATGTTGTACATTATATCACTAGTAGTTATTTATCTTACAAATGGAAGCTTATACCTTTTGAATACCTTCATCCAATGCCCCCTTCCACTTCCCAAACCCTACTTCTGGTAACCACATGTCTGATCTCTCTTTCTATGAATTAGTTTCTTTATTTTTGAAGTATAACTGACCTACATCACTTAATTAATTCTGGGTGCATAAAATAGTGATTCAGTATTTCTGTAATTGCAAACTGATAACCACAAAATAGCTTAAATTTTAAAAAACATTAATCCATAATGCTGGTAAGGATGTAGCAAAATGGACACTTAATCAAAAGAGAGCTAAACAATGATGCAACCTGCTTTGAGGATAGTGTAGCATTAGATATTAAAATTATATTTTACTTTTTGTTTTTTAAAATTGAGTTATAATTAATAGACAATATATTAATTTCAGGTGAACAATGTAGTAATTTGATTTTTTTTTTTTGCTCATTTGATATTTTTATATGTTATGAAATGATCACTGCAATAAGACCAGTTACCATCCATTACCATACAGTGTTGTTAGAATGTTTTTGACTTCATTCCCTATGTGTATTACATTCCCATGACTTATTTATTTTGTAGTTGGAAGTTTGTACCTCTTCAGAACTTTGTAACTTTTAATCTCTTTTACCTGTTTTGTCCATTTCCCCCACCCACCTCCACTCTCGAAAACCGCCCGGTTTGTGCTCTGCATCTGTGAGTCTGTTTCTGTTTTGTTTTGTTTCTTCATTTGTTTTGTTTTGTAGATTTTACATATAAGTGAAAGCATACATTATTTGTTTTTCTCTGTCTGACTTATTTCACTTAGCAGAATATCCTCCAGGTCTGTTGCATGTTGTGCAAGTGGCAAGATTTCATTCTTTATGGAGGGTTGAGTAATATTCCAGGGCTATCAGGTGGCTCAGCAGTAAAGAATGCACCTACAAAAATAACAGATATTAAAAAAAAAAGATAAAATTTTAAAGAAGAGAGAAAGTATCCACCTACAATGTAGGAGATGTGGGTTCAATCCCTGGGTTGGGAAGATCCCCTAGACAAGGGAATGGCAAGCCTCTCCAGTATTCTTGCCTGGAAAATTTCATGGACAGAGGAGCCTGGCGGGCTACAGTCCATAGGGTCGCCAAGTGTTGGACATGACTGAGCGACTGAATGAGCACACACACAGACACGCACACATGAGTAATATTCCATTGTATACGTATATACCACATCTTTATCCACTCAGCTATGGATGGGCACTTAGGTTGCTTCCATATCTTGGCTACTGTCAATAGTGCTGCAATGAAAGGCATTAATAGTTAAAATGGACAGCGTTGGTACGACTCAGGAACATGTGTCCCAATGACACATGGATGTGGTACATTTACAAGGCAGGACAGGGCTTCCCAGGTGGCTCGAGGTAAAGAATCCACCTGCCAATGCAGGAGACTCGGGTTCAGTCCCTGGGTTGGGAAGATCCCCTGGAGGAAGAAATCGCAAACTATTCCAGTATTTTTGCCTGAAAAATCCCATGGACAGAGGAACCTGGCGGGCTACAGTCCACGGGGCCCCAAAGGGTTGGCTACGACTGATGCCTGAGCATGGATGCGGGCACAAGGCAGGCTGGGTCCATCATATCCAGGGCACCAGTATTCCCACGCTGATTGGTCTCTTCCTCCACAGAGGCTGCACAGATATCATTTGCTGTGTGTTCCTCTTCCTGGCTATTGTGGGTTATGTAGCTGTGGGCATCATAGGTAAGCGAAGGAGGGGATGGGATGGCGGTTCCCGGGTGGGCGGGCAGGCCACAGCCTCTGGGGCAGAAGTGGAGCTGGTGGTGGAGCCCCGTCACCTCAACATTCCTGGATCCCTCCACAGCTTGGACCCATGGAGACCCTCGAAAGGTGATCTACCCCACTGACAGCCAAGGCCAATTCTGCGGGCAGAAGGGCACGAAAAATGAGTGAGTGTGGCTCCTTGGGGCCTACTGGGTCTGGAGAGAGCTTCCTCAGTACTGGAGAGAAGGTTCTAGGCTTCCCTCACCTCCATCCGTCCACCAGTCCAGTCAACAAGTATTTATAAAACTCCCGCCATCCCCAACCTCTGTTCTAGGCCTCGGGGACAGGGCTCTAATTGAGGCATTCAAAGTCTTATCCTCTGGTGGCCCACATATTAGGGGGGAGACAGAAGAGACAGTCCTGGATCTGATGTCAGGTGAGGTAAATGGGCAAGTTCAAAATGAGCTGTGCCATTCCCTGGCTGTGTGACCTATGGCAAGTGTCTCAACCTCTCTGGGCCTCATCTCTGAAATGGGGATCCTGACATTCCCACTCTCATGGGACTCTTCTGATGGTTAGATGTCCAGTGCTTACACAGCACCTGGCACGAAGTTGCTGCTGCAGTTATTATGGTTGTTGTTTCTATTTTCATTAAGATATTCTATGTAGGCTGATGGAGAAGTCTTGACAGTTTCCGTCTCCCTTCCCCAACCCCAGGAACAAACCCTTCCTGTTTTATTTCAACATTGTGAAGTGTGCTAGCCCCCTGGTCCTGCTGGAATTCCAGTGTCCCACCCCCCAGGTAACTTCTCCCCTCCCCTCCTGTTTCCTGTCCCCCACTTACATCAATCAGGTCCTTTTTCCTCCTCTAGCAGTAGCTTCTCTCCCAGCCCTCTTTCTCCTCTTGATGAATAAGGGGGAGGAGGGTGGGACCTCTGTCCTAAGAGGGCATCAGGTGTCTGTTCTGACCCCACCTAACCCCTGCCTCCTGTCCTTGCCAAGATCTGTGTGGAGAAATGTCCCAGCCGTTACCTCACCTACCTGAATGCTCATGTGTCTGAGGACTTTGAGTACTACAAGCAGTACTGTTTACCTGGCTTCCAGAAAAACAAAGTGAGTGGATAACTGCCCTGGGAGCCTGGGCGAGGGCAGGTCCTCAGTACTGGCCTGCAGGATCGACCGCTTGCTCTCTCCTGGCAGGGTGTGGCTGAAGTCCTTCGAGATGGAGACTGCCCCGCTGTCCTCATTCCCAGCAAACCCTGTGAGTCTGGGGTCCCTTGAGCTCCGGAGGGGCCTGAGGAGGTTTCAGGGGTCCACCTGACTGATCCCATCTCCAACTCCATATAGTTGCCCAGCGATGTTTCCCTGCTGTCCACGCCCACAAGGGGGTCCTCATGGTGGGCAACGAGACGACCTACGAGGATGGGCTTGGCTCTCGGAAAAATGTCACGGAGCTGGTAGAAGGAGCCAAGTGAGGACCTTGACCCACCACGCCAGCACTGTGCTTTCCTGGGGTGGGGTGGGGGTGGGGTAGGGAACAGGGCATCCCCTGGGGCTGGCCCAATCATGGATTGGGGTCCTACCTAAGCCTTGTCTGCCCTCCCCCAGGAAGGCCAATGGAGTCCTGGAGGCCCGGCAGCTGGCCATGAGGATATTTGAAGATTACACAGTCTCCTGGTACTGGATTATCATGTAAGTTGAGAGGGAAGGTAGGCTACCCTGTCTGAGATTGGTGAGGGGATCAGGATCCACTATGTCCCCATTTTCTCCCGCAGAGGCCTGATTATCGCAATGGTGTTGAGCCTCCTGTTCATCATCCTGCTCCGATTCTTGGCTGGCATTATGGTCTGGGTGATGATCGTCATGGTGATCCTGGTCCTAGGTTATGGTAAGTCACTCCCTCCCTATGTCCTCCCCTCCCCACTGTCTGCAAAGTGCCTGTGCCCTTGGAGCTCTCACTGACCCATCAAGAATCTTCTCTTGGGACTTCCCTGGTGGTCCAGTGGTTAAGACCTCATGCATCCAATGCAGGGGGCGTGGGTTCAATCCCTGGTTGGGGCACCAAGATCTCACATGCAGTGCTAAGTTGCTTCTGTCGTGTCCAACTCGTTGTGACTCTGTGGACCATAGCCTACCAGGCTCCTCTGTCCATGGGATTCTCCAAGCCAGAATACTAGAGTGGGTTGCCGGGCCCTCCTTCAAGGATCTTCCCAACCCAGGGATCGAACCCGCATCTCTTATGTTTCTTGCATTGGCAGGCGGGTTCTTTACCACTAGTGCCACTTGGGAAGCCCAAGATCCCACATATCCCACAGCCAAAAAAAAAAGAGAGAATCTTCTCTTGAGGAAATTCCCTGGTGGTCCAGTGGCTAGGACTTGATGCTTTTACTGCTGGGCCCCTGGGTTCAATCCTTGATCAGAGAACTAAGATTCTGAAGGCTGCAAGGCGTGACTGAAAAAAAAAAAATTCTCTTGAGCCATCAGACCTTGAGCCATCAGACATTCTCTATGTCTTTCATTGGGAATATTTGTAAAGATGTTCATTTCGACATTGTTTATGAGAGCAGACACTTGGAAACAACTTTCGTGCTCATTTATGTCTGATGGATTAGATCATAATGTTCCCAAACTGGGCTGGATCTGTATTTTGTTGACAGCAAAGTCATCGTCAAGTAGACCATCTAGCACAGTGGTTAAGGCCACATGCTCTAGCACCAGAAAGCCCAGGGTCTGAATTCAGCCTCTTCCAGTTCCTTGCTCTATGACCTTGGGCAAGTGACTCAACCTCCCCATGCCTCAATATCCTCCTCCATAAAATGGGGATAATTAGTATTTACCGGTTCAGAGATTTGCTGAGAAGATAGGGTGTGAATGAGATGGGGAAGGGCCCTGTGACTCTGTAACCTGTGGAACTCAGAACACAGTACTTCATGTTCTGTTTATTCATTTAAACTTTGCTGGATATGCAACCTAAACTGGGGACACAGATATTAAAATGTTCTTTTTTTTTTTTTTTTTGGCTGCACTACGCAGCATGCAGGATCTTAGTTCCTCAACCAGAGATCAAACCCATGCCCCCTGAAGTGGAAGCTCAAAGTCTTAACCACTGGGCTGCCAGGGAATTTCCAAAATATTCATGTTAATGAATGGTTTCTAGCTGGGTGCTGGCAGTTTAGGTGGTTAGCTTTTTGTTTTTTAAATAGTTATTTTTATTTCCTTTGTTACTTGGTGACTCCACAGTAAAGAATCCACTTGCAATGCAGGAGACTGCCTGCAATGCAGACCTGAATTCGATCCCTGGGCTGGGAAGATTCCCCTGGAGAAGGAAATGGCTACCCATTCCAGCATTCTTGTCTGTGAAATCCCATGGACAGAGGAGCCTGGTGGTTGCAAGAGTTGGACACAACTTAGTGACTAAATCACCACCATTGCCATTTTGTTACTACCCTTGGCTGTGTTGGGTCTTAGTTGTGGCACAAGGGATGTGGGATCTAGTTTCCTGACCAGGAACTGAACCTGATCCCCCTGTACTGGGATTTTGGAGTCTTAACCATTGGACCACCAGGGAAATCCCTGGTGATGAGCTTTTTCTACATTATCTGTACTTTATAATTTTCTTCTACAGAGAGCTAAAGAGAATGCTGAAAATCCCTAATGCTACCCCACTGGATGTTAGCACCCATGTCCTCCGTCCCCACCCATGAATCATCATTACAGGGTGACACAGGGGTCAGACTGGAGAATGAAATGGCAACCTACTCCAGTATTCTTGCCTGGAGAATCCCATGGATAGGGGAACCTCAGGGGCTCCAGTCCCTAGGGTCTCAAAGAATTGGACACGACTGAAGCAACTGAGCATGCAGAGGGGTCAGGAAAGCTGCAGGTCACACAGCACCCTGATACCTGCTCAATCATTCATTCATCTGTCTTGTATTGAATGACTATGTCCTGAGCAGTCTTCTAGGTCCTGGGCTTAGAGCAATGAATACACCAGGACAAATCTTACTCTTGTGGAGCTTATATTCCAGGGGCGTATGGGCAAGATGGACAAAAAACAAACTAGATAACCTCTGGGATGTCAAAACAGTGAAGGTGGATAAGAATTTGGAGTGTAAGAGGGTATTATTCTAAAGGGGGGAAGGGATCCTAGAAGGTCGCATGAGAAGGTGACTTTAGAGCAGAGACTAGAGGATGTAAGGGATCCAGTTGGGGAGAGACTGAACCAGGCAGCAGGAACAGTCAGTGCAAAGGCCCTGAGGCAACAGCAGCCCCCTCTCAGCCTTGGTTTTTGTTTTCTGTTAAATGGGCATGATTGTACCTGCTTTGCAGCATTGAGGGAGCGGTGGTTGGGCTGAGGTCAGTGTAGCACAGTGGTTCCCCCGTGCAGGAATACTGCATTGCTACATGGAATATGCTCGGCTGCGTGGTGAGGCTGGCTCTGACATCTCCCTGGTGGACCTTGGCTTCCAGACGGACTTCCGTGTGTACCTGCACTTGCGGCAGACCTGGGTGGCCTTCAGTGAGTCCCAGCTCCCCACTCGGTGAGGCCTGGGTGGGAGTGGGGAGCCCAGGCAGGTGGCAGACTTGAATTCACCCTCTGCTCCCCGCAGTGATCATTCTGAGCATCATCGAGGTTATTATCATCTTGCTACTCATCTTTCTACGGAAGAGAATTCTCATCGCCATCGCACTCATCAAAGAAGCCAGCAGGTGGGTGCTGGGGTGCCAGAGGGTCAGGCTGGGGCAGTTGCAGGGGCTGCTCAGGCTTTGATGTCTGTGTCTCTGTTCCTTCCAGGGCTGTGGGATACGTGATGTGCTCCTTGCTGTACCCACTGGTCACCTTCTTCCTGCTGTGCCTTTGCATCGCCTACTGGGCTAGCACTGCTATGTATCCACCGTCAGACCCTGGTCTCTGGCCCCCGGGATGGCTCAAAGTGCCCAACTTGCCTGGAGGTGACCCGCAGCCTGGGGGCAAGGCCCGAACCTGGTGTGGGAATGGATTCTTTTTCCATGTGCCCCTGTGGTCCCTAAACCCTGAACTTAGGTTCCTTAACAAGCTTCTAGCTTCCTGTCCACTTCCAACGAAGCTGTCTATAAGATCTTCAATGACACCAGCTGCCCAGTTGCTGGGAAAACCTGCAACCCTGAGGTGAGTGTCCCCAAATAGAGGGGTGTGGCTGTTTCTCTGATAGCCCACAGATGATCTGAAATCTCTTGTTCCCACTTGGGGACTGTTGAGCAAACATTTGACACCTGCTGTATGTACTGTGCCAGATGCAGGGGGCATGGGGGGGCGGGAGATCCAGCCTGGCCCCCACTCCCCCCTACTCCCTAAGTGCTGATCCACTCAACTTCTCCCCACCCTTGACTTCGTCTCCTGCTACTACACCCCGCTCTTCACCCAATGGTGGTCAGTTCTTGCTTCCAGAATCCTGTCCTTGCTTTTCACAAGCCCCTCACCTGCCCTCTGTGGTCTTCTTAGTGATCTCTGCCGCTTGTGATCTGTCCCCGTGGCCACTCCATTGGTCCTCATGATAGTTTCTCCTGCCTCCCTGATGTCCATTGAGACAACCATCTCTGAGCCTGCTTTTAGAACTCCTTTTGCAAGCCCTTCTTGTAAACTCCCAGTTTCTTGACTTAACTCAGTTCCTCATGACTCCTGTCCCACCCCATGGTCCACCTGACCCGGACCTGATGCCCAGAGCCCACTCTGAACCCCAAGGCTCTGTGATATGACCAGGCTCTGCATCCCTCCCACAGACCTTCCCCTCCTCCAATGAATCCCGCCTGTGTCCTGGAGCCCACTGCCAGTTCGCCTTCTATGGCGGTGAATCGACCTACCACCGGGCCCTGCTGGGCCTGCAGATCTTCAACGTCTTCATGTTCTTCTGGCTGGCCAACTTCGTGCTGGCACTGGGCCAGGTCACACTAGCCGGGGCATTCGCCTCCTACTACTGGGCCATGAACAAGCCGGATGATCTGCCTGCCTTCCCGCTCTTCTCTGCCTTTGGCCGGGCGCTCAGGTGGGGACCCAGGTGGGCTGGGGGTGGGGGGTGAGATGGAGTGGAAGAAGCCTGGCCCGGCTACTGACCACACCCTCGGCTCAAAGGTATCACACAGGCTCCCTGGCCTTTGGCTCCCTCATTCTGGCCATCGTGCAGGTCATCCGAGTGATGCTGGAGTACTTGGATCAGCGCTTGAAAGGTATGGCCCACAGGTGGTTGACAGGATTCCCACGGGGGGGCGGGGCTAAGGGGGTAGATTGGGATTGATTCTTAGAGGGAGGTGGGGCTAAATTGCTGGGGCAGGGATTGGTTGCTGCCTGTGGGGCTTTCGTGATTCGTTCCTGTGATGAGAAATGACTGAAAGAGCCCATTGAATGGCGTTCTTTCCATTGAAGGGGCGGGAACAAGAGATGGGGCCGCCATTGGTTCCTGAAGAGATGGTCAGGCTGGAATTGGTTGTGCTTTGGGGTGGAGCCAAGGAGGGCTCAAGGATTGGCTTCAGCCTGGGAGGCAGGGCCCGGGTAGCCGTGGGGGTTGTCGCTTATTCCTATCTTGGAGGCTGGGCTGAATTCCTGTTTTGGGGGGACTGGGCTGAGAGTCACTGTTGGTTCCTACCAGCGTGCGGGGCAGGACCCCGAGGGTCCTGAATCAAGTCTCCCTCTCCTTGTCTATTCGAGAAGGGGGCTCTAAGAGTCCTGGACGCTGGCAAGTGTGTACAACAAGGAAGTAGGGGCTCCTACCAGGCCGAGTGGGGTTTCCTCTCACCTCTGCATCTCTCTCGTCTACCAGCGGCAGAGAACAAGTTTGCCAAGTTCCTCATGAGCTGTCTCAAATGCTGCTTCTGGTGTCTGGAGAAGTTCATCAAATTCCTCAACAGAAATGCCTACATCATGGTGAGTAGGCCTGGGACCAGGAACTAACCCACCAGCTGCTGCTAGCTGGAGGAGCCCTCATTCCCCGTCGCAGTGGGGCTGATCCATCGCTCCCACCTCCCTCCAGATTGCCATCTACGGCACCAACTTCTGCACCTCAGCCAGAAATGCCTTCTTCCTGCTCATGAGAAACATCATCAGGTCAGGGAAAAACACCCTTCTCTGGCCACCTCCCTCCTCCCCCAGGCCCTGAGCCAGCATTCACGCCTGCTTCTTATGTCCCCTGTAGGGTGGCTGTCCTGGATAAAGTCACCGACTTCCTCTTCCTGTTGGGCAAACTTCTCATAGTCGGTAGCGTGGGTGAGTGCTGTCTGGCTGCAGAGAGACTGTTGGAGGCCCTTTGTGAGCTGCTATCGGCCCCCATGCCTTCTATGATAACTGTCTTCTCTGGGGTCTTCTTGGTGGGGGGTGGGGGGGACGCATTTCCTTTATCCAGAACCCTCAACCATCTCCATTTCCTTCTGCTTTCCAGGGATCCTGGCTTTCTTCTTCTTCACTCACCGAATCAGGATCGTGCAGGACACAGCACCACCCCTCAATTATTACTGGGTCCCTACAGTGGTATGAACCTTTGGGGGGTGGGAAGGGGTCGGGGAGAAGGAGATGTCGGGACTCACCTGGCCTCCTCTGACTGGACAGAATGGAAGCAGAGGCGGGGAATGGTTAACTCAGCCCACAAACGTTTATTAAGTCCCAACCATGGTCGGGGCTTCCCTGGTGACTCAGCGGTTAAGAATCCGCCTGCTGCGCAGGAGTCACAGGAGAAGCAGTTTTGATACCTGGGTCAGGAAGATGCCCTGGTGGGAAGTGTTAGCCGCTCAGTCGTGCCCGACTCTGCGATCCCATGGACTATAGTCCACCAGGCTCCTCTGTCCATGGCATTTTCCAGGCAACGATACTGGAGTGGTTTGCCATTTCCTTCTCCAGGGGACCTTTCCAACATAGGGATCGAACTCAGGTCTCTTGCACCGCAGGCAGATTATTTACCAACTAATAAATGCCCCTGGAGGAGGGCATGGCAGCCCACTCCAGTCTTCTTGCCTGGAGGATCCCATGGACAGAGGAGTCTGGTGGGCCACAGTCCATAGGGTCACAAAAAGAGACATGACTGAAACGGCTTAGCACAACCATGTTCCAGGCATGACCTGGGAGGGCTTCCCTTCAAAGGCCTTACGGTTTAGGAGTAAATAGACGTGGGACCTCCCTGGTGGCCCACGGAGTGGTTAAGACTCCATGCTGCCAATGCAGGAGGCATGGGTTCGATCCCTGCTCAGGGAAGTAAGATCCCACATATTCCACATGCCCATGATGATGCAAATTAGATGTATGCTTGCAAAGTTGTACATTCCAGAAGAATTATCACAGGGAACCAAGTTTTAGAGCTTGCAGTGGAGGATGTGGGCAGGTGTGGAAGTCTAGAGGGCTTCCCCATGGAAGTGATGTCATGTCTAAGATCTGAAAGAGATGCCGGCAATATTGTGGCAGAAGGGACAAACACCTGAGGCAGGTCTGTGCCAGGAACAGTGAGCAAATGAGTGTGGTTGGTGTGGAGGGAGTGAAGTGATGAGGAGGTGGAGATCGGGCAGGCAGAGGATGGGGCCGTGGTTAGGGATTTAGGTCAACGCCCTAAGAGCAGTACAGTATCTGAGTGCAGGACTTGGAGCCCAGTGACCTCGATTTTTATCTTAGTTCTTTGTTTGCTAGTTCTGAGTGATTCTGGGCAAGTTATTTAATCTGCTCACTTTAGTCAATCAATGTTTATCAAGTACCTACCAAGGACCTCTGAGTTTCCAGGTTGCTGGGGGATATAAATGGGACACAGTATAGTAGGGGTGTGGGCATTAAAGCTGTCATGCACTAGGGACTTCCCTGGAGGTCCAGAGGTTAAGACTCTGTGCTTCCAATTCAGGGGGCATGAGTTCGATCCTTGCTCAGAAACTTAAGATCCCACACCCCTTGTAGTGCGGCCAAAAAAATTAAAAAGAAAAAAAAATACTGGCAAAACCTATCATTCCCTAAAAAATGCATAAAATTTCAGCCAAAGGCCTTAAGTGAGGGGCTAGCTTAGCAGCAGGGAAATGGCATGCTGCTAGCTGGGAAGGGATGAGGTGGTGGGTAGAGGTTGCCTTGGGCAGAAGGGTGGAAACAGCTTGTCTGTCCTTTGCCCAGACGGTGGTCATCGGCTCCTACTTGATTGCCCATGGCTTCTTCAGCGTCTATGGCATGTGTGTGGACACACTTTTCCTCTGTTTCTGTGAGTAACCCCTCACCCCCGACCCTTGCTGGGCCCTGACTCCCTTCTCCCCTCTGGGCAGAACATCTCTCTGCGATGGGGCTACACATCTGCCCACCTGGTGCCCGCGGCCTCCCCAGAGCCTGGCTGTCCCTGGGGCCCCAGGCTACCCCACCTCCCACCCCCCACAGCTTCTCCCCGGCGTTCAGAGCTTCTCCATCCTCTTGTCCCTTGGTCAGGCTGCAGCCGGAACACTGTCCCTTGGGCCCTCGGCTTTAGAGTTTCTGGCTTTTGGGGGGACATCTGTGGCTGCCACTAACTCTGGTCTCTCCGTCTATTTTTTGGTTTTTTGTTTTCTCTTTTCTCTTCCTCTCCTCCATGCCTGCTGGCTTCCCTGAACCCCCCGCCTCCCTCATCCCCTCCCTGCCTGACCACCCCGTTTTCCCCCTTGCTGGTTCCTGGGGGAGCCCAGGTGAGGACCTGGAAAGAAATGACGGCTCTCAGGAGCGACCCTACTTCATGTCGCCCGAGCTGAGAGACATCCTGTTGAAGGGGAGTGCGGAGGAGGGGAAGCGGGCGGAAGTCGAGGAGTAGAGAGGGAGGCTGGCTTGTAGATCAGGGCGGGTGCATGTGGGGCTTTGGGGCCTGGGAGTGGGGATCAGCGTGTGTGTGTGCCCCCGGCCCCATTCCCACCCCGCTCCAGTCCCGCTCCCTCCAGTCCCAGCACCTCTTGCTTCTTAACACTCTGAGGCTTTTCTGTGGCCCACCCACTCCCCATCCACCCACCCAATCCCCCGGGGCCCCCGCCCGGGGGCTCCCCTCATGCCGCCTGCTCTGGGGCCTCTCTCTGCAGTGGAGGACCTGGAGAGGAATGACGGGACGCCTGAGAGGCCTTACTTCATGTCTCTCACCCTCAAGAAGATCTTGAACAAGACCAACAAGAGGCAGGAGGAGGCCTAGAGGCCCCGCCCCCACCCTCCCTGGAAGTTTCGTGATGGGTGCTGGGCAGCTGGGTCAGAACCCCCAGCCCTTTGGGCTGACCTGAAGTCCTGTCACTGCCGCCTCCTTCCTGCCCCACCCATCATCCAGTTACCACCAGGGAACCTGCAGGATTTGGGGCATCGCCTCCCTATGCCAAGGGCCAGTCGGGAGTTTTCTCGGCACCTCCCCCCTCACTACTTCGCCCCCCACCAGCTGGGATGAGAAGCCAGGTGGGGCTTCTTAGTATCCGACATGTGAGGGGCCTCTGTGGGCTGCCTTGCGGTTCCTGTCCCCCTCTTATGACAGGACAGTATTTGTGTCTACAACAGCGGTGGCTGCAACAAGGCCACTGTAACCTGCGTCTGCTCTGGCCAGGATGCCAGAACCCTTTCTCCAGGTTGAACAACTGGCTACTGGCCACTGCAGGCATTTTTTTTTTTAAACCTGGACATGCATTAAAGGGTCTGTTAGCTTTTTCTGTCTTCACGGCTGAGATGGGGCCGCTAAAGAATGCTTTCTGATGTCCCCTCCTCAGGTGTTGCTATGTGTGCCCACGTAGGGGTGTCTCCTGGCCAGGGAGGCAGTAGCTGGGGTGTTGATGGGGTGGAGAAGAGGGAGGGAGGTTGTGGGGGCAGGGAGGCTGGGGGTGGGCTGGTGGGGAGCAGGGAGGAGGTTGGTAATAGCGGCTTAATGGAAACCGGCTGGCTGGCTGAGTCAGGCTGAATTTCCCCTTTTCTCTGCCACTTATTGACACACCTCTCTTTGTAAGAGAGAAAAGAAACTGAATCCACTCAAGGGATGATTTCGAAGAAAGGGGGGATGGGGGGGTAGATGCCTTGGGCAAATAGGCAGCCCCCACCCCCAGTCTCCTCGCTTTGAGGATCCTTTTGCCAAATGTGTTGAATTCAGGGGAACTGGTGTGCCCGGTCTCCCTTTGCCATATCTCAAGGCCCCCCGATCCGGGATCTGGAGAAACCCCAGCCTGGGGTTTCTGTCTCCTGTGCCTGCCTGCCCCCTTCCCCCATTCTGTCCGCACACCCCTATGTGTAACTGCATTCCAACCACTAATAAAGTGCCTATTGTACAGTGCCTGGGCCTGGAGTGTTTGTGGGGGAGGGTGGGAGGCTGGTAGGGGGAAACCCCAGCTTCAGCCGCCCTGAGATCCTCTGAGCTGGGGCGACTCTCCAGGGGGAAGGAGGGAGGGCAGGAAGCCCGCTGTCTGCTGGCCTCTGACTGAATTCTACCATGCGGCCGTTCAGGTTTCTCCTGAACAAATACCCCTTACTAGGCTCTGATCCCCAGACTCCAGAAGGCGGCAGTGACCTGCCCACCTCCTCGGCACACTGCCCAGACACGTGCCCCCAGGCAGGCTTTGTCTTGGGCCCAGCACTTGGGCACCACCATCTAGCTTAAGTGGCTTCAGACCTGCCAAGCCGCCCCACCCTGCTTGCTACTGCCCCCTGGTGCCAGCTGTTACTGTCACTTCTGGGCCAACTGCTCCACCTTGCTAATTTTCTTTCTCACCCCAACGCTGCCTTTTTTGTAAATAGCTACCATTTTTGGAGTACTCCTTATCTGCACACATACAGTCCCCACTCATTAAGGCAGGGAAGTTGGGCAACGTCTCTGAAGGTTGCCCAGCAGGAAAGGGGCTGAGAAGTTTGTCTCATTGCTTCAAAGCCCTCAGCTTCTATCCTGTACAGACACTCTCTAGGTTTGCTTGTTCACCTCAATCTTTTGGGTTTATTCCTTTCTTACCGCCATCTCTTGTTAACCCCGTCTCCAAAATAGCTCCTAAACCTGCTTGTGTGTTAAATTGCTTCAGTCGTGTTTGATTCTTTGAGACCCTATGCCTGCCGGATTCCTCAGTCCATGGAATCCTCCAAGCAAGAATACTGGAGTGGATTGTCATGCCCTTCTCCAGGGGATCTTCCCAACCCACGGATTGAACCTGAGTCTTATGTCTCCTGCATTGGCAGCCAGGTTCCTTACCACGAGTGCCACCTGGAAAGCCCAAACCACCTTACATCTCTCCATATTTTCAGTTCCCAGCTCTCATTATCAACTCATCTGCCCACATTCCTTCAGTTTCCCCCACAGGCCCAGAAGGGCGCCTGCACACATCTGAGTTCACACCCTTTCTCTGCTCAAGAACCTTCCACGGATCCCTTTTACTGAGTGAAAGCCAAAGCAACCCACAGGGCCCTGCCGCATCTGCCCCCTTAATGCGCTCAGGCTGCCCTCATCCAGCCGCCCTGGCCCCAGGGCTTATGCCAGAAACACACACCACCTGGCTCTTTTCACAGCTAGCTCCTTATCCTCCTGCTTTCAGCTCAGGGGTCGCCTCCAGGAAGTTTCCCTGCTCACTGAAAGCTGTCTTAGCAAACTTGTGGATAACAAGGAGGGAAGCGGGCTAGGATGAATTGGGAGATTGGGACTGACAGTGTCACACTTTGTTCAGTTTAGTTCAGTCCAGTCCCTCAGTCGTGTTCGACTCTGCGAACCCAAGGTATGCTGCACACCAGACTTCCTTGTCCATCACCAACTCCCAGAGCTTGCTCAAACTCATGCCCATCGAGTCGGTGATGCCATCCAACCGTCTCATCCTGTCGTCCCCTTCTCCTGCCTTCAATCTTTCCCAGCATCAGGGTCTTTTCCAATGAGTCAGTTCTTTGCATCAGGTGGTCAAAGTATTGGAGCTTGTTTCAGTCCTTCCAATGAATATTCAGGATTTATTTCCTTTAGGATTGACTGGTTTGATCTTGCAGTTCAAGGGACTCTCAAGAGTCTTCTCCAACACCACAGTTCAAAAGCATCAATTCTTTGGCACTCAGCTTTCTGTATGGTCCAACTCTCACATCCATACATGACTACTGGAAAAACCATAGCTTTGACTATACAGACCTTTGTCGGCAAAATGATGTCTCTGCTTTTTAATATGCTGTCTAGGTTGGTCATAGCTTTTCTTTCAAGGAGCAAACATCTTTTAATTTCATGGTTGCAGTCACCATCTGCAGTGATTTTGGAGCCCAGAGAAATAAAGTCTGTCACTGTTTCCATTTTTTCCCTATCTATGTGCCATGAAGTGATAGGACCGGATGCCATGATCTTAGTTCTTCGAATGCTGAGTTTAAAGCCAACTTTTTCACTCTCCTCTTTCACTTTCATCAAGAGGCTTTTTAGTTCTTCTTCATTTTCTGCCATAAGGGTGGCGTCATCTGCTTATGAGGTTATTGATATTTCTCCCAGCAATCTTGATTCCAGCTTGTGATTCATCTAGCACTGCATTTCGCATGATGTACTGTCCAGACAAGTTAAATAAGCAGGGTGACAATATACAGCCTTGACATACCCCTTTTCCAATTTGGAACCAGTCTGTTGTTCCATGTCTGGTTCTAACTGTTGGTTCTTGACCTGCATACAGATTCCTCAGGAGGCAGTTCAGGTGGTCTGGTATTTCCATCTCTTGAAGAATTTTCCAGTTTGTTGTGATCCACATAGCCAAAGGCTTTGGAGTAGTCAATAAAGCAGTAGATGTTTTTCTGGCACTCTCTTGCTTTTTTGATGATCCCTGTTTAGCACAGGGTACTCTGCTCTATGCTCTGTGGTGACTTAAATGGGAAGGAAATCTAAACAAGATATATATATATATATATATATATATATACTTATATACATACATAACCTCAGATACACAGATAACACTACCCTAGTGGCAGAAATCAAGAGGAACTAAAGAGCCTCTTGATGAAGGTGAAAGAGGAGAGTGAAAAATCTGGCTTAAAACTCAACATTCAAAAAACTAAGATCATGGCGTCTGGTCCCATTACTTGATGGCAAATAGATTGGGAAAAAATGGAAACAGGTACAAACTTTATTTTCTTGGGCTCCAAAATCACTGCAGATGGTGACTTTAGCCATGAAATTAAAAGATGCTTGCTCCCTGGGAAAAAAGCTATGACAAACCCAGACATCATATTAAAAAGCAGAGACATCACTTTGCTGACAAAGGTCTGTGGAGTCAAAGCTATGGTTTTCCCAGTAGTCGTGTACCTGAGAGTTGGACCATAAAGGTTGAGTGCTCAAGAATTGATGCTCTCAAACTGTGGTTATAGAGACTCTTGAAAGCCACTTGGTCTGCAAGGACATCAAACCAGTCAATCATAAAGGAAACCAACCCTGAAGATTCATTGGAGGTACTGACGTTGAAGCTCCAATACTTTGACCACCTGATGCGAAGAACTGACTCATTGGAAAAGACCCTAACGCTGGGAAAGATTGAAGGCAGGAGAAAGGGATGACAGAGGATGAGATAGTTGGATGGGATCACCAACTCAATGGGCATGAGTTTGAGCAAACTCTGGGAGACAGTGAAGGACAGGGAAGCCTGGTGTGATGCAGTTGATGGGGTTGCAAAGAGTCGGACACGACCCAGTGACTGAACAATACATACGTATGTACATATCACCCTACTGTACAGCAGAAAGTAACACAACACTGCAAAGCAACTGCCGTTGCTTAGTCTCTAAGTTGTGTCTGACTCTTCTGTCCATGGGATTTCCCAGGCAATGGAGTGGGTTGCCATTTTCCTTCTCCAGATCTTCTGTCATTTCTTCTAGCAGATCTTCCCCACCCAGATACCGAATCTAAGTCTCCTGCACAAACAGGTGGATTCTTCCCCACTGAGCCAGCAGGGAAGCCTAGTCAAAGAGATTTAATAGGGGCTGCTTTAGAAGAATGAGATACTCAAAAGCCAGTTTTTCAGAAATGTAATCTTGGGAATACCCTGCCTCGCATGAGTAGTTAGGATTCAGTGCTTTCATTGATGGGGGTCCGGGTTCGATCCCTAGTCAGGGAACTAAAACCCTGCAAGCTGAGTGACTTGGCCAAAAAAGAAAATGTAACCTAGGGATCCTTCCAAGAGAGGTCTAAGGACTTAAGAGTCAGAAAACTAGAGCTCTTCCTCGTTCTGCCACTTGGTAGCGCTGTTAGCTTGGTCAAGTTGCCCTACTTCTGTGCATCTTCCCTCAAGTGTCATACAGAGGCATAGCTGATCTCTAACTTCTGGCTAAAGCCAAGTTATCAGCTCTACTGTTATGGTGCTTGGGAACAATCTAAGCTTATTTTAGCTAACTATGTCTGAATACATGTCCCATTAATTTAACCAAAACTTTCTTCAATCTCAAGCTTTATTTAAAAAAGATCTCTAAGTTGGGGTGAGGTGGGGAAGGCAAAATGCTGAATGCCTATCGTTTATGTGAAAAACGCTAATAAAAATAAATAAAACATCTCTGTTAAATACACCAAAAAACTTTACAGTGGTTGCCAAGAAATGTGTCAAGAAGAGGTAAACTGACTCCGTTTTCTTACATTCTTTTGCACATTTGACATTTTGTATCATGTGAATAATCATTGGTTTAAGACCTTAAGTGTAAATAAAAATGAAAAGTAATGGGTACAGCATGCACTCATTCTGTAATCACATTTTTACACTTTACCTTTTTAACAATAACTATCATTTTGGGGCATTTGTTCTGCGCAAGTAATTGTACTAGGTGCTTCTAAGAAAAATCATCACCATTTTGAAGATAACCATACGAAGGTCCAGGGACGTGTACTATTCTTGGTCACACCCGGAGACTCGAACTTCGGGCGACCCTGGATCTTGCATTCTGAATAAACTAGCTGCTCCATCCTTACGTTTTTGTAAGGACGATCCAAAATTAGGGCATTAAGTCTTAAACGACTTCTCGCCTTCTCCAGGAAATTTTTTGAACCACTCCTTGTTCCAAATAACAGCAGTATCTGAAGCACGGCCTCGCACAAATCAACCTAATTAACGACGTCTGTTGAGCGCTAGATTGACCCCGACACTGAAGGGGAGCGGGGTTTAGCTTAGGTACATTGTACAACAGGGATCTCACAAAGCGCTCGAGAGGAGTCAACGACACCAGGCTTGTAAAAAAAAAAGACGCTGGGTCCCCGATAACTTTACTTATGAGGCCCAAGATGTGGTTGGCCGAGCAACCGTTGCAGCCCCAGCTCTCCCACGAAAGACCGGGAAGCCTCCAGTCCGGTCTTTTTCTGGATCGGGCGTCAGTTTGTCCATCTGCGAAAAGGGGACTGGAAGATCCCGACCGACTCGGCTTTGCTCTTCGGAGGCTCGGCAATCCGGCTGGGCGCTACATAGGATAAAGTCTTTAACACCAAAGACCCGAGGTATTCGCTGGGACCAGTCTAGGGACAGCAACGAGGAGCTCGGGCCGGCCGTTGCTCGCACACGCACCTCCAGTCTGCTCGGCCTCTCGTGAAGATGCGGACAGTGTGGAGAAAGTTTCGCCGGAACGCCTCGGTTGGAAACGATGAAACTGCCTCCGAGACTCACCCACTACGAGGATGCTGACGCGCCTGCCTCTAAGGGTCGTTTCCGCCAACGTACTTCTAGTGTAAGATGGCGTCCGCGCAGGCGCGTAAACTAGCAGCAGCAGGAGGCTCCGCCCCTCAACCTGCATCACCTGGTAATGGCTTATCAAAAACCGCCATTGAAAAAAAAGCGCCGATATTGTCACATGACTCAGGTCTACCAATAAGACAAGGGAAAGGCCCAAAAGTTCTTGTCACGTGGCCAAGGAGAGCTCTGAATTTGCCACTGTCACATGATCAAGCAGAGGCGTGGAAAGGGGCGGGGAACCGTTCCGGCTGCACGTAACAGCTACGTTTCTGACACGTGACTAGGGCCCGCCTCCATATCTCTCTTTGTCCCTCCTTCCCTTTCCGGCTGGGCCTGCGTCGAGCGGCAACGCAGCGGCGAAGGGGCGGGGCTCCGGCCGGTCACGTGCTCCCGCACCTCCCCGGCGCGCGCCCGCCCGCTCGCCCCCGGCCCCGGCTCCTCCTCCTCCTCTTCTCGCCATTGCAGTTGGACTCAGCAGCCCGGTGCGCACCGCGTGGCTTTTGGGGGGAGACCCCGGTGGGCTCTGGCAGGAGGGCGGCGGCCGCGGTCGGAGAACGGGACGCGGACGAGGTAAGCGTCAGTGTGGCGGCGGCCGGGCCCGCTCCCGCCTCTCCTCCTCCCCCCGGTCAGTCCTCTCACTCAGCGCGGGCTCCGCTAAGGAGTAGCCGTGACATGGCCTGAGGCGCCCCGCGCTCCCCGCCTCCGCCGGGTCCTTTCGTCCCGGCGCCTGGCTCATTCCTCCCTTGTCAGCCTCGCTCCCGCGTTTGGCCGTTACTCTCCCCCATTGTGCCGAGGAAACAAAATGGCGGCGGCGGCGGCGAGGGCCCGGTGCGCGCGCATCCGCCCCCCCTCGCGGCCCCTCGGCCGTCGGCGGCGCCTCTCGCGGGGGGTGCGCGCGCACCGGGCCCCCGGCCGCCGCCTCCTCCGGGCCGGGCTTTGTCTGTTGCGGCGCACGCGCGCACGTGCCTGGAGCACACACCCCCTCCGGCCCGGAGCATCCTGACCCGGGATGCAGGGACGATCCCTCTTCCACCACTCCTCCTCTTTGTCCCAGTCCCGCCCCGAGTTCCAGGAGGGTCCCAGGTTCCCGAGGCGGGAAACATGTCCTCCTTTGTCCTTACGTGGGGCAGAGAGGCAATTCCCTTCCCTGGAACCCCATACTTAGGTGGATTGCAGGGAAAGCTGCTTGGGGTCCTCAAATCTCTGGCTAGCCAGCCCTCCCCTAGATTAGGAACCAAATCTAGCGGAGGATTTACGCTTTCTCTCTCCAGGCGATTCGTTGATGTTGGCCTTTTTTTTCCAGACTGTTAAGGACTTGCAGTCTCTCCTAAAACTGATCTGGTGCGAAATTTGAGTATCCTGTGATCTGTAAAATTGGGACCGAAGCATGAGAGCTTGAAACCCGTTTCTGTCTTATTTTCTGAAGTAGTTGAGGGACAGATTCCTGGGGTTGCTCTTGAGTTTCTGTCCTGTAATACTGCACCTGGGGGGGATTATTCGGGGTGTGCAGTCATCTGCATGCTCTCCCCCAGTCATTGTCTAAAAGAGTAAGCCATCTCTTCTTAACATTTGCAGAACTGGTTGAAAGTTGCTTGGGATTCTGCCTAGGGGACTTGATTGAGCAGCAAGGAAGCATCAGTTAACTTTTAATGGACTCAGGTATTCCAGGGATTCTGAATCTTTTGTTATTGCTTAGGATTGTGATCTCTTTAAAGTGAGTGGTTTGGTGGCATATTTGGAATCCATGGGAGAACCCAAGGTGCTACCGAAGTTGGTTCTCAAAATTTAGGACTTACTCTTTCCCTCAAATATCTGTGGTTGGGAATCTCCTCAGGTTGCTCCCAGCAGCTGCCACTATGCTTTGTGTGTGGTCTCGTGGGATGTGGCTACAGCAGCCGCTCAGACTGTGAATGAACTGTGGGAACCAGCAGCTCATTCACAGCTGGAATAGCGGTGGAAAGGCCCCAGGGCACAGGCAAGTGCTGCTGTTCCAGACAGTAGTCCTGAGTTGTTTCTTGGCCATGTGGACAGCTCTTGGTCCCTGGCTTTGTGAATAGAATCTCTGCAGACCTTAGCGCTGTCTGAGTTGATTGGAGGCTGGCAATTACTGCCAGAGGTGGCCTTGCTAACACTGAACATTGATTTATCAGAGGCTCCCTACCCTGCTGGAGCTTGGGCCAGCCTGGGAATCGCCCTCTCTCTGGAGTGGAGTGGTACCTAACCCTTTGCAGTTTTTGTTTCCTTTTCCTGATTGGACTTGTCTAGTGCCTGTAGGGGAAAATTTATTTATCTTCTTCCAGGGTACTTGAGGAGATGCCCATATTATTGGGAGTGAGAAATCTAAGACTGTCTTTTGTTTTTCTTAAATTTTTCTTATTGAAAAAACTAACATTGGCAAGAGTGGCTGGTAATATTAATATTTTGATGTCACAAATATGGTGTCATGCTCCCCTGGGTAAGTTCACCAGGTAGGGACGAGTGGGGTGAGTCACTGATGAAGAAAGAGCCGTCTCCAAGTCACATAAGCCTCTTCTCTTTGAGTAAATATAGGCAGCATCTTGTCTGTCTTTGGGCTTTAGCAGGATGTGAGAGTTGGAAATGTTCTTGCTTTTGAGAAAGGTTTTAGAAGTTTTCTTTGGGCAGAGGCAGCTCCCTCTTAACTTTTCTCATCTTTCTCCCCAGTTCCTCCAGATTTCACCTTTTACATCTTAGAATGATTCTTTTCCCCCAGAAACTTGGGTTTTTATGTCCTTGGACTTGCCCACGTGCTACATTTTGTCATCAAGTTGCTTTTAACTGTGTGCAGTTCTGAAAGATGTGTAAAATGTCACCTATCTAGTATTAGCAGATGTGGCCCACAAAACGGTGATAATTTTATTTGAATATTGCTTTCATTGAATCTTCTGAAGAATTAGATTTTCTAAGCTTTGTATATTGGCATCTTTTTATTTTAGCAAAGACCTGGGCGAGAAAGATTTGATTTCTGCTTCCAACAGAAGGATTTAGAATTAGAGACAGTTGGTGATATGACGGAGTTTTATTGATGTCTCAGCAGTAAAGAATCCACCTGCAGTGCAGGAGACTCGGGTCCGATCCCTGGGTGGGAAAGATCCTCTGGAGGAGGAAATGGCGTTCCTGGTATTCTTGTCTGGAGAATCCCATGAACAGAGGAGCATGGTGGGTTATAGTCCATGGGGTCACAAAGAGTCAGGACTTAGCAACTAAACAAGTGACTCTACAGGAGTCTACACACTGTTGGTTAGTGAAATGGGCTCAGGGTCCTAAAAGAGACAAGGCTGGCTTCAGTGTCTTGCCCAGCATTTGACAGTTTTTGGCTGAAACAACCAGCTCCTCTCTTTGTCACTTAGGGCAGTTTGGTGTTGCCTCCATAGTGCTCGCACCACAGAAGTAATAGTGAATGCAGGGTGGGCATGTGTTTGTTGTGGAGCCTTGTGAGTGTGCTGACTTTTTAAAATGAATTGGTTCTTGCCACCTTATGTTCTGCTGAATCCCTGTGAGATTTTTCCTAGACATCACTTGATAGGTGGTCCTGTTACAAATTACAATGGGAAATTCAGCCAGACTTTTCATTAGCTGTTTTCAGATGTTTTGTGAAATAGTGTCTAGTTGATATTTAATTTTTTTTCTTACCTCACTGAATGTCTGTAGTGAAGAAATTGAAAATGAAGCTACTAGTTTTAATGGGGAAATGAGTTTACTGACCAATGACTATTTTTTTGTCTGTATATGATCACAAAGGATCATTTAGTTACAAAATTGAATGTGTGTCCCTTAGTTGAGTGTGTAAATTTGCTCCAGATTTTTTTTTTTTTTTTTTTTTTTAGTAATCTTAGATGATTCATGAGAAATGGTGTTATTGGCAGTTTGAGGGTTAGGGTAATTTTCCTTGAAACAGCCATTCATATTATTTCCATTAGGGTTGTAGTTCATGCTCAAGGATAAGGTCTTATTGGAATAATATTCCAGGCCACTTGGCTTTTTTGCTGCTTTCTTTTGAACTGATTTCTTCCTCTTATCAGAGTGTACATGAGATATGTGTATGTCTAAAAGATGAATGTTGCAAGTTGGGCTTGCTTTTCCATGATACATGTAGAGTTTTTGCAGGTTAATAATTGTTACTATGTATTCATAATTCCAAAAAAACTTTAAATTTCCCTAATAACGGAAAGGGCCAGCCTGGCTCCATGGCTTATAGTGGCACTTAATGTTTATAATAACCAAGAATTGGAACCCACCCAGTTGTCCTTTTGTGGGTGAGCAGTTCCTTATCATGGAATACTACGTGGCAGTAAAAAAGAACAAGCTGTCAGTACACACACAACTTGGATGAATCTTGAGGCAGTCATTGCATGATAAGCCCATCCTAAAAGGCCGTAAGCTCTACAATTCCATTTATATAACATTTTTGGAATGCCAAGATTACAGAAACCTTCAGTGGATTAGTGGTTGCTAGGGGTTAAGCATGGGTGGGGGGCGGTTGGCCATACACAGTGTGTTCACTGTTACACAGTGAGCGTGACTATACACGGTCAACAGGAGTGGTCCTTGTGACAGCGGCAGTCTGTGACTTATGTCAGTATCAGTGTTATGATTGTGATAGTGCTCCAGCTCTGGCAAGATGCGGCCATCGAGGGAAGCTGAGTGGAGAACATGGGAGATGATCTGTTCTTAGAGCTGCATAAGAAGCTACAAGATGAAAAGTTTCATTTAAGAAAGAAACTCTTGGGACTTCCTTGATGGTCCAATGGTTGGGACCCTGTGCTTCCACTGCAGGGGGCACAGATTCGATCCCTGTTCAGAGAACTAGCTCTCACATGCCACAGCTAAGACCCCGGGGCAGCCAAATAAAATATTTTAAAAAAGAAACCCTTACCCATTAAAATAATTCACAGTCTGCATGTTATGTTGATATTTAACATCCTTTGAGATGCAGTCATTTTTAAATTTTTCCTTTATTAGAAACTAATTTTAAAAAATCTGAGACTTTCCCCATGGGGACACGTGGGAAAGTTGTCTCTGTTCTCCCCCTCAGATTTCTAACGTGACTGATTTTGCTGCCTAAAGGGCATGTTGCAAAGAGAGTTTGATAATCCCCACTTAGAATCCTGTTAAACCTTTTTGCTGTGACATGTCTTCTCACAGGCAGACTTTAAAAAATATTTCTATTGGTTCATCGAAGAGTAGCTGAAATAACTCCTTCAGCATCTTGCATTTGTAGTTTTACAGCTGAAGGGCTTCCCAGGTGGCACTGGTGGTAAAGAATCCACCTGCCAATGCAGGAGAGAAGAGTTAGATCACTGGGTTGGAAAGATCCCCTGGAGGAGGAAATGGATACCCACTACAGTCCATGGGGTGGCAGAGTCAGAATTGACTAAGCACCTGACAGAATTAACAACAACTGGTAGGGCATTTTCCCACCTTGCCTCCTGTAATCCTTGTTGTTTGAGACTGGGAGGTGTAGGTGGTGTTTCAATCTCATTTTTGACCCAATTTTGAAAAGATTTGTTGAAGATTCCACAGTGGCCAGATTGGAAAACCCAAGTGGGCAC